CCCTGCGCGGCCAGTCTGGCACCGTTCACCTTTGCCTGGTCCCTTTGTCAGTGACCGACCACGTTCAGGACCGGCAGAGAACCTTCCTCCCAAAGGAGAGTCAGACCCTTGAAGCGGACAGTCCCAGGAATGGGTCCTGAGGCCACGAGCGAGACCCACAGAGGAGCCACTGAAGCCGTTTGTTAGTGGGAAGTTGGGGAGCGTCCCACAAGGGGTCCCCTGAATGATGTGGTGCCCCCCCGCCTGGGTGCCTGTCAGTCGGGCAGAGGTATCTCCTCCCGTGAACTGCATGCACCTGGTGACACCGCGTGCTGTTCAGTCACTCCCTGGCCGATGGGCATCTCGGTGGCGTCTGACTTTGAAAGCTGACACTCGTGAGGCGTGACTGGTCACGGACGCGAGACCTGTCTCTGAGCAGCCACTGAGGTCAGTTCTGGAAAGGCCCCGGCGCCCCCCCTTGTCCCCCGGCCCTGTCCAGGGGTGACGTGCACCGAGACCCACCCCCCAGGCTGGGGGGCCGCAGTCGCAGGAGCGTCTGGAAGGTTCTCCTGATCCTCGCCGGGACGAGACCCGGATGGCCTGAGCTGGGGAGGGCTCGTCGCCCCGAACCACACGGCCAGGACCCCTCAGGAGCAAAGCTCCTCAGACCCCCGGTTCCCAGGGTCTGCACCGCCATCACGAGGACCGTGTCAGGCACTGTTAAGTGTGCTGTAAATGTGTATTTAACCGCAGTGAAACGTTAGAAATGTGAAAGTACTTACGTTCTGTTTGTTTTCTAAAACTATCCAACGCATTCTGAATGCAGAGGTTAGAGAGAGAGGGAAAGGGAAAGTTAAAACCGGTCAGCAGGGCCACCACCCTGGACACTGGGGATCCCGGGCAGCAGGGGCCCGGGCCCATCCCTCGCAGCTGCCCCGGGCTGGCCTCTGCAGGGCGGGGCGGCCGGGGTCTCGGGGCCCAGCCCCCACCTCGGGACTCCATCCTGCCCCACCCACGGCCCCACACGGTCTGAGGAGACCCCCGGGGTGGGGTGTGACAAAACCAGAACCCCTCTGAGCAATGGCCTCTCCCCGAGGGAAGCCGACCCGTCCTAGGGGCAGAGGGCCTGACAGCCCGCAGCTGGAGGGGACCGATGGGGTGCACCCGAGCCCTCAGCCCACATCCTGACCGGTGCCCCCGCTGCCGTCTGTGCAGCTCCAGGCAGGTGAGCCTTCCTCCAGGCACCCTCCTGCGTGTGGTCAATTCTGACCCCAGAGCCAGCCCCCGCCCGCCCCATGCCCAGGGTCCTGCCAGCTACTCCAGTGCACCTCTGGGGGGCTGTTCTCTGAGCACCCGAGGCTGCAGGCACCAAGGATGCTCACTGCGGATCCCCGGGACCGGGCACTCCCCTGCGCGGCTGAGACCCCACAACCGTATGGGAATCAAGAGGGCCTGGCCGGCCCGGAGGGCAAGGGGTCTCCCAGGTCTGCCGCCCCGGTGCCATCGGCTCTCCCCCATGTCACCTCTCAGGCCCTCACTCAGGTGCTGGGGCCCCGTGGTCAGCTGAAGAGTCACCCCCAAATGTCCAAGTCCTCATCCCTAGGCCCTTGTGTGGCTAAAGGCGCTTCCAGACCACAGTGGGCAGTGCAGGGAGGTGACCTGGTCCGCCCCGCCCCGACGCGGAGGGGTGTCCCGACTCCTCCTGGAAAACTCACAAGTCGGCTCTCCGCCGTGGCTCAGCCCTGGCCTCCCAGGGGTCCTGACGCGCACACTGGCAGCAGCGGTCACTGCAGGAGGCCCAGGTCTGCCCTCTGACTCCAGCCGCTCACAGAGCTCTGCTTTCTAACGTCTTGGTTAAGACATGAGCGGCCATCCAGAACCTGAGCATCCAATACCACCTACGTGTAGGGGATCCACCCTCAGCTTTAAAGGTGACACAGGTCTCACCGCGACACGGAAGAGGGAGGGCCCTTAGAGACCGTACTTTGGTTAAGAAGTCACATACGTCTCTTTCTGCGCTACGTACGTGCGTGTGCAGACACATGACATGGGTGGCACGTCCGCGTGCACGGCCGCACCATCCTTCATCGGCCGTTACCTGCCAGGCGCGCCACGCCCCCTTTCCCTGCGCTTTGCACGCCGCAGGCGCACTTTCTACAGACGGAAGGTTTGTGGCCACGCAGCGCCAGGCCAGTCTGCCAGCACCGTTTTCCCAACAGCGTCTCTTCACTTCCTGCCTCTGTCACATTTTGATGATTCTTACAGTATTTCAGACTTTTTCATTATTGCGGTGACTGTGATTGGAGACCTTTGCTGTTAGCACTTCAGCCTGCTAAAAGCTCAGACGACGATCGGCATGTTTTAGTGGTGTTTTGGGTTTTTTTTGGGGGGGGATTGGGTTTATTTATTTATTTTTAATTTTTTTTTTAGTGGAGGTACTGGGGATTGAACCCAGGACCTTGTGCGTGCTAAACACGTGTTCTACCACTGAGCTACACCCTCCCTGCAAACATTCGGGGGTTTCTGTGTTAATTTTTTGCTGTTTTTGTTTGTTTTGGGGGGGTAATTGGGTTTATTTTTATTATTTTTTAAAATTTAACTGGAGGGACTGGGATCGAACCCATGACCTCCTGCACGCTAAGCACACACTACCACTGAGCTGTACCTTCGCCCCTTTAGTGGTATTTCCTAACTAAGGTACGTACCCTATGTTTTTAGATGTGACACTGTTGCACACGTCACAGACTGCAGCATAGCACGACCTAACTTCCACGTGCACCGGGAAACCGGAGCGTCCGTGTGCCTCTCTGTTGTGCCTGGACCTGCACTCAGCACCTCCGAGGTCTGCTCAGGACCCCTTTGCTCTGCTTGTCCTGACTCCACTGTGCACGTACGTCGCTCGCAAATGGAAGACAGCCAGCAGTCGGGACGGCCACTCCGGGGCCCGGAGTCCGTCCTCCCCGCGCGCAAGCCTCGGCGCCTGTGAACGGAAGCGTGGCCCCAAGACGCGGTGCGCAGAGTGCTCTGGACCAAAAACACACACACACACACGTGCACACAAGAACACAGGCATACCGGCGCACACAGGTACACACATGCGTGCAGTTATGTCAGCACACAAAGCGCACATGTACCCATGTTAACGGGGGTACATGCAGACACAGAGGCGCGCACACGCTCCACCAGGAAGATCTGGAGATGGAGAAGCCCCTCGGGGTCCCTGCGCTCCGAGGCCAGGCCCGCTGTGAGACACTGGCCCGGCTTTAGCGCAGCCAGAGCTTGAGCCACCGTGACCGGTCCCATGAACCCAGCTCTACAGAGACACACAGGCCGAGCCACGCAGGGTAGACAGGGAGCAAGCCAGACAGGGAGGTGCCTGCAGGCAGAGGCAGGAACCAACCTCCTGCAGAGCCGCAGCCTGACCCGAAAGTTGACCTTCAGTTCTGGTGCCGTCCGGGGCTTGGGGGAGGGGACGGCCAGAGACGCCGCCTTGGTAAACACTGTGCCCCCCAACACCACGATGCACAGTGACCAGCACTGGCTGGTGGGCTGGGTTTAGGGGAGAGGGCAGCACCTGCCTAGATCCGGACGTGTCCCTGGGGACGGCCAACCCAGGGGCCTGCGGCAGGACGGGCCTGGGGCAGGGCCCGCATGGCGCCTCGGACAGAAGGGACGTGCTCTCGTCCCCTGTCCCTTGACAGCAGGTGGGAAGAGCATGTTTCCCGAGGGCAGGCGTGAAACCGCCCCATCGAGGGCTGGTCCCTGCGAGCCCGTCAGCGGGGTCCCCGAGGACCTGCGTCCACCAGTAAGGGGCCCTGGTGAACCCAGCACCGAGCCTCCCCGCCTTCCCAGTGCCAAAGAGGTCCCCAGGCGTGGCAGTGGAGGACGCTGCAGCCGCAGGACAGGCCTGGCGGGTGGAGCACATACCTCAGTGCCCGCCCTGAGGGCCTGAGGCGGCCCAGGTGACCCGGGGCCACACAGCCGCCCTCACACGTCTGTCTGCACACGTCCCACTCGCAGCACCTGCCCATCGCCTGGGGCCCATGCAGAGCCCAGGGGACGGAGGCCCATGAGCCGACTCCACAGGGGACACGCAGCGGCGTGACACTCGCGGCTCCTCCCAGCTTGCCCCAGAGCTCCCAGAGGGGAAGAGACCTATCTGTTCTCCCTCCTCCTTGACCCCCTCCCCGCTCTGAGCAGAGGACGAGCCCCAGGCCTGGGACGGGCTGTGCGCTTTCTCTCGCAGCTACCGACGAGCGAGAAGCCGGCACCCGGGGACCAGGGCCGCCCGCGCTGCCCAAAGCCCGGGACACATTCAGAACGCGGGTTTGGCCGCCGTCCCATCCCAGTGTATCCAACACAGAGCAAACCCCCCGTGCCCGAGGGGGCAGGCTAGACTCTCGGTCTTTTCTGTGTTTAAACATCCTGAAACAAGTCATTCAAACAATTCCCACTTGGCTGGCTCTGGAGTTAGTTTTTGAAATCTCCAGATGCACACAGACCCACACACATCAAACCCAAACGGTCGGCCGACACAGAAGCGCCCCCCGGGCCGGCCGCGGCCCGGCAGCTGGTGCTGGCGGACAGTCTAATGGGCACACGGCCGCGCCCGTGTTCACGTCACGAGGGGAGAGCTGAGTAATTGCAACGA